TTTTAAACGATTTTTAAATTAAAACTCTAAATTAAATCACGAGAATGAACAACAAATCATCGAACGTTCGTAGTGAAGATCATTATCAGTCATTAAGAAAAATTACTGACATATGCACGCCGGTGTTTATCAGATTCGCACCTTGTCGATTGTTTCTCGAGAGAAGAATCTGTAGAATCTCTTAAGCAACGGACGATATGCGCATACCTTATGAGCTAATTACAATCCTTTGATGGTAGGTTACGCGCGTATTACACCTGTCCAAGGGATGCGTGTCAATCGATAGAAAAACGTTCCCAGTTGAACTCTTGGTTATCTTGTTTCTCCGCGTTTAACGAAGGCAAACCTGTTGCAACATTGTACAAGTGTACTTAACGTGTTACTTTTCGATGCATTTGTTCATGGGACAAGTTATTACTCATAAATTAATATGAACCTGTTTATAATTAACGAGCCACGTACTATAAAGTCATTCTTCTCTTCAGACGGATTTATGAATTGTTAATTTATGAAGTAAGACTATTCTAATTATACAGCAGCCTATAATACAATAAAATCATCAGACAATTCTACTTGTAATAAAATCGGCAAATAATTCAGCGTGTGTAACAATTCGCAATATTAATACATAATAATCTTACGGAGAGGAGAATCAGGAGATTGCAGATGCAATCAGGGAACGTTAATTTAAATTTTGTTCGGTTAATTAGTAGCCCGGCATCTGCGGAGGTTGAATTCCCCGCGCGACTTCGATACGCATCGGGAGAAATTCACCGAGGGATCAGTTGCGTGCACGCGCAAGGATAAGCCGATGAATAAAATTAAGCAAAAAGTGGTGAGGAGCTCGCGTGGAATTTGGCCGCGTCGCCAGGAATTCGGTTAACCTGTAACAGCAACATATGCTTTAAATACGTTGGTAGGTACTACGTACGTCTACCGATATACCTGCGAGTTCTGTGAACTGAGCGCACTCACCAAAGCGTGCAGTGCGCCATATGTGCCGTCGATTAGGCCACGGGTGGCAACCTCCACATGTGCCGGTCCTTCGTGGATCGCATAGAATACGTGCACATAAATTCCCTCACCCTCGACCCCCGGCATAGGTCGAGTGCTACCTGTGCATTGTAGCAGGCACATACGACGTATGCCAGCCGGTGGTGGAATGCCGACACGTGGAAATCGATATTCCTAACGTGGACCTTGATTTTCTGTTCTCACTATACGATTCACAGTAGAATTGCGTTTGGACCGTCGTTATCACTACTCAACATCTTATAACACGACGACGTCATTCTATATTAAATGATAAATATTAAAAATCGTAAATTAAAAATTTGATCTTGTATTAAATTAAAATTGTCTAGATATTATGGTTTTATAATTATTTTTAGTAATGTCATTGATAAAAGAAAATATAATTATGATGATGATGATAATTATAACAGCTACAGAAAGTTTTGCAGTGTCCATGTACAGAAGCCATTTTTGCTCGAAGCTCGAGTAGCCATTTTTGTGTATGTTGTAATTTGGACTCGCAGTGTCTCGTTCAATAAACTTTTTGCGCGATTCGTTAATTAGTCGGCGACGTTCTCATTAACGTGGTCAGGGAGGGGCATAGCAAACCGATTCTCATCGAGGCTTCACTTCGTCCCCTCGGCTCTCTGTGCCAGGAGGAAACCGCAGAGTCATAATGACGCCCTCTGATAATGGCAACGATATTTACTGTATATCACGCGTATAGACAATATGATTTATATTTGTAATTATTGCGATTATTGATACAGATATAATAGTGGATGCTTCGTATGAACGTAATGATTGCAGCACTTGATTAACTGAATGTTTAAAATCAGATCCGTTTCATACCATTCATATAAATGATAAATCGAAGCTGACGATAATTGGATGAACACGCATTACACATAAACCATCTCGTATTAAATTATATTGTCGTTTATCGTTGAGAATTCCCAGACCAATTGTACGATGCTGTTAATTGAACCTCAACCTAATTTTTTTATTAACAATTATGTAAAACCTATGTTTGAACGTTAAACGTGATATACGATATTTTGTCAAAGATTATTTTGTAAAGTATTTAACAAATTATGTATACATGCGTTACAAATTAACTACTTGAAATTCATCTTGGAGACTGCTTCAAATGGAACAATTCGAGAGGCGTGTAAAAAAATATTTTGTACGGTGATAAAAAATAACGAAATGCATTCCGCGTCATAAAGAGGAACTTGTTACGACGAGGTCTCATTTAACGAGCGTCCGTTAATACACGCATACGCGCTGCGACAAAATTAAGAATGCGTATTAAATAATTAATGACTTCGTTCACCGTCGCCGATGAAAATTAGTAGCTGGCGTAACGGGATCGCTGCAAGAGTGTCCCTTGGAACAGGTTGACCGGGTCCCGAGCCAAGAGAAGCTCTACGAAGGATAATAATGGTGGTACCTGTAACTTTGCGGTTGAAGATTTGTAGAATGTACAGTGAGAAATTCGTACAATGCTCGGCGACGTCGTAAATCTTCGGTTCTATACTTCATTGTCTGACTGTTACGGTTTCTATAGAAAGGAATCGAAGATTGACGATACTGGCAAGAAGGAAGAATTCCTAAACGTACAGGGTACCTGCTCCGGTAATTGACCCCGGGCCAGATCTCGCATTTCAAATAAGGCTCTGCCTCATTTTTTTGCATCCCTCCTCGATAAACATGTTGCATCACCGAAGTATCAATATTATTTACTTAAACATATTTTTATCATAATGATGCTTGCAAATGTTTCTACGATCGTTTTATGCTGTTTGCGAAAAGTGTAGAGAGTAATTCATGAAAATGTCAGTTGCTATAGGTAAAACGTTTGAACTGATAAGAAAGACCGAAGACACGCTTCAGTCGCTCCGTGAAATTTATGTGACGAGGTCGCCTTATCAGTGCGACATTATCAGCCTGTGTGTGTGTATCTGGTCATACAACTCAGTTTAAAGCGTGAAAGCGTCCTTTATCTGTCGAAATTCAACGTCAGACGACGTCGTTCGGACGTCTCGGATATTTATCACGGAGGCTATCCAATCGGGCGCTCGCGCGCACGGGAAGAAACGTGGTCTAGTGGGCCCTCGAGAGGTGCTCCTTACGCGCCGCTTTTTCATCTCGACGAGAAGAGGACGGAAAGAGAGGGAGAGACAAGGAGGGATGGGATAGAAAAAAGGAGGGAGAGACCGAGCGCCGGTAAAAGAAAAAAGAGAGGGGAACAGGGCATATACCTGTTCCGTGCACGCGTGTACGTACGCGTACACGTCGGTGAGGTCCACGCGCGTACGTGCGCGCGCACCACATCCTCCCCCTGTACACACGCTCCCCTTAAGAGCACGAGACCTGGCCAGCACACGTGCGCCCTAGTACACGCACGCTCGCACGTACACTGCCGTTCATAAGTATTAAGCATCCGGTACGGAACATGTTTGTTGACTTCCGCGAAACTTGATAAAATATTTCATTGACGTGATAAGACGAGTAGCGTCTAACTGATGTCGTCTACAAATTATGTTCGGGGCGGCAGTCATTTCAATTGCAAGAGTAGAATTGTGCAATACTCATATCAAGGTTATTCCACTTGACCATTTGAATATACTGTCACTGACTTATATGAATTTCACATGAAATGGTGAATGAGTCGTGAAGTTCATTTCATTCACGCATCAGCTGCTGCCACAAAAGGCAGTCTTCATCTTCTTGTCTCCTGGAAAAGATACCGCGTATCACATCCAGTTACGAGATCGACGGTGTTCGAATACTTCTGGATGGCAATGTACGCGCACGCTTCGTACGTAGCGGACGAAGCCGAGGTAGGGAGAGAGGCCCGATGGATGGGGGTCGGCGCGCGCCACGGGCCGAGGGTGGGGAGAACGGCTCACGTCTTTCACCCCCTGCCCTCTTCGGGCCCCTCGGCGTGTGTGCCCATAACGTTGCTGCCCCCAACTCGGGGCCCACATATCCTCTCTCGTATCCCCTTACTCCACTTACGCGCGGGTACCTTCTTCTCGGCGCGGCGTAGCTTCTCTTCAGCCGTGCCACCCCCTTACTCCGCCGCCTCCTCTTCATCTTCTTCTTCGGAGTCCGAACGACTCCTTCTTTCTTTGCCGCGGCTCGCGGGCTCCTCTCTTTTCAATCCGGTGCGCGTGGTTCTCCTCTTTCTCTCTTCCTTCCTTGGCTCACTCGGTCTCTGGACCAGCTTTTCTTTCTCCCGGTAACTGTTCAAATTTCGATCCCCGAGACACCGGCCAGCACGCGTGGGGATGTGGACCCTTCTTGTTGCGCGCCCGCTCAGTGTCTCTCACGCGTGTACAGGAATTCCTACGTCGACTCGAACACGACGATCCAGAAGCTTGCCGTTACGTCGATCATTAAGCTGTTCTCTATTAAACTGTAGTACGATCTTTATCTTATGTATTTGTTAAAATACACAAGTTATATGAATAAAGATAATAAAAATATATAATGACAGTGTACAATTTTTATATAATATATAATGACAATGTACAATTTCAATCGATCTTTTTCTGTCTCATCAATATTACTTTTAAAATTGTAATGAAATTATACGATCATTCGCACAGTGCCATGACACAATTCCATGAGCACGAGTCTAAGCTATGAAGCGCAACTTCCGAGAAACATGAACCGCAAGTTAAGTCGAGTTATCTCGCCGATAACGACGAAGGGTATCGTCTTTAAATATCCAAATCAGCAAATAGACAGCAACTGGCGGGGCGGAGGGCACGAGACGAAATGCGCTTGGCGATCTACGGCAAGATGAGAATCTCGGGCGCGTTGTAGGGCCTTTGGATCCGGCGACGACGGTGGTGGTGCCTATGGTGGGGAAACGAACAAGGGTATGAGGCGCTGCAAGCCAGTAGGGTAGGAAGGAGGGGAAGAAGATGGGGGTTTAGGGCCCGAGATCGAGTACGGGGCCCGGTAGTGGGGATAGGCGCGTGCCCGCCCTGGCTATATAAGGCCTCGAACCCTTCTTAGTAAGGCATTTCGGGAGCCAAGTCCGTACAGTCAACGTCAAGGGTGCGGTTCAGTTTTCAAACTCTCTCGTTCAAACGTTTCGGACGTGTCAGCGTTTTCTCTCTTGCTGTTGGTTACTCGTATTCGAAACTCGAAGGTGTCGTAAGAACAGGTCGACGGGATAATCGAGAAAGGGTTGAATCGTCGTAAATAATCGTCGATCGGTAATCGCGAGTACTTCGGATTCTAATTGTCAAGGTCATCCGGCACGCGCTGCCGCACACTCCTGCTCTCGGCAGTGGGGGGTATCGAAACAGTGTGATATGACCTTAGTGGGATCGAACGAGGAGAACGTATTGCCCATCATGTTGAGCGTGCAGCAGCAGCATCATCACCACAACCTCCACGGTTCGAGCGCGACCGGCGGGCAAACGCACCGCGGGAACGTGATCGTTTCGACCAGCAGCATGCCGGCGAACGATATCAAGATCCAGCAACACGGTTGCAAGCGATCGAAGATTTACGGGCAGGCGACCGGGCCTTACGGCGCGGTGCCTCATCAGCCGGCCTCGGTCGCCCGGCGAAACGCACGGGAACGGAATCGTGTCAAACAGGTGAACAACGGATTCGCCACGTTGAGGCAACACATACCGCAGAGCGTGGCACAAGCACTGGGTGGGAGCACGGCTGGCACCCACGGCGGTGCCAGGGCCGGTAGCAAAAAACTGTCGAAAGTCGAGACGCTGAGGATGGCCGTCGAGTACATCAGAAGTCTGCAACGTCTCCTCGAGGAACACGACGGTGGCTCCGACGTGACAAGCGTTTCGTCGCCGACGTCTTCGCCACCCTCGTCCACCTCCTCGGCCTCGTCCACGTGCGGCTCTACCGGCGGAATCGGCGTCGACTCTAATCATCACTCGGCCGAGCTCAGACTTCGCGGCAACGTCAACAGCGATTTGCGACATCAGAATAATAACGATATACATCGGCATCAACATTTGAGACAAAATCCTAGCCCGACGTTCGTGCCAACGCCTTGCTCCGAGGCGTCAAGCTCGCCGACGCCGAGTTTCGTCTCCGAGGCGTCTTCAGCTGGCAGTCAGGGTTACGGAACGTCTGGCGCGCTCTACCCGGCCCACTCCGATGCCTACGATAATTACGAGCCGATGAGCCCCGAGGACGAAGAGCTGTTGGATGTCATCTCGTGGTGGCAACAGAGTCAATGAGGAACTGGTGCCTGCTCCGACTTTGCCCCTGAACCTCTCGAAGGTAGGTGTCGTGATTTCAAGGTTCTTTCATCAGATATCTTAAATACAGTGACCGGTATTCGATTAAATCGTTCCATCGATTTATCCAAGTAAACAGTGTAATTAGATTCGAGTTCAGTTCATTCCGCACTTCTTTAACATTTTATATAATCAGTATTTTTCATTATCTGCTTAACTACAAGCTTGAACAAAAGATAAAATGCTTTCTTACGCGATGTATCTCCTGAGTCAAGAAAGTGTCATTAAACATTTTATGCGAGGACAGCATAAGGAACCGAGCCGAAACGTTGCGTCACATTCACGATCCCCACCTACTTTTTTTTCTTCTAAAAGCTTCTCACCTCCCTCGCTCGTTCTCGGCGACCGTAAATTTCGCCCCGTGAGGTAACATCCGCGTTACGGCGCGACGCGGCGCGGAGGAAGTTCAAAGAAATTTCCGAGCAGATTTGTGACCTTGCCCCGTGACAATGGCGCGCGCGACCCCTCGCTGAAACCTCCGGCCATTCAAATCGCAGACTCCATTCAGGAGGGGCACCGCCGAGTATACATTCGAGAAGCGACGCTTTTGTGCCCGATTTCTTTCACCGCGTCACTAACACGCGTGACACGACCCATGTACGCGCGTATGTGTGTACGGTAGTCCCTCTACCGTTTTTTCCGTCCCTCCTCACCCTTCGACTATCGGAGTCGTCCGATCCTCCCTGAAGATTTTGCCACCTATACTGAATTCAAAAACTTTAGCTTCGGATCAAAGACTGTCACTGCAGAACCTGTGCAATCTTATAAAATCAGTATAGTTCAACTATTTATCAGTGTACAGTTTATGAACATACTTTTAAACGAGATCGTGTTACGAACAGGAAAGCATTGAAGCTCGATTATGATCTTGATCGATGCAACATTCCCTGGTAGATTCGACGCTTTTAACCGTTCCTTCCCGCGGATTTTCTCTCACTCCATCTCACGCTTCATTCGGTTTTTCCTCTCTATTTCATTCCGACCGGCCTCCTATACATATCTCTCTTTTTCACATTGACAAGAGAGACGATTTCGTCTGCTGCGTTTAACTTGAATGCATCTTTCAGGATATTTCAGTCCCCCTTTTGTGGGTTTTTGAACCGGTACGCCTATTCTATCGTCTCGCTTTCCCCTTCGTTCTCCTCCTCTCCTCCAACTTCTTCACGTCGCCTTTGCCCCGCGAAAAGAATCCGTCCCGGTAAAACTGCCCTTACCTGAAATCATCCCCTACCTCTCCTATACCTGTAGCGTCTTCTCTTACCAATCCTGCGACAATTTCCTACGGAATAAATTTATAAACTGGTATACCGTTCTTTTCGTTAATACGACGAGATTGCTGGTACCAGAAAAATAATTTTATTTAGACTCGAATTAATATAATAAAAAAATTGAAGCATTTTATCTTTTCAATTTGTAAGAAGAAACAACGAATTTTGTGTTAGGCGATTCTGATTACTAAATGTTTTCTCTTTTTCTTTTCCAGAAATATATGAGGTGCAGGGGTCGGAATGGGGTGACAAACGGCGGCTGTTCTACGGACTGTGATCTAGTCAATAATTGTACCCACGTAATTGTAACAGGAGAGTCACATCGTTTTTGTCCTTACTTTGTGCTAAAGTAGACGCGGTTGTATATACAAAACGGGTTTTCCGAAACGTTAATTACAGTAAGAAACGTTAATTATAGAGAGTAATATTTATGTCGTATCGACATTAAGAAGACAATTGAACAATATTGTCCAGATATCCTCGAAGGATGTAGCATTCCAGAGTGCCTTACACAGAATATTATATATTGTTAATTTTGAATTGGCAAATCCCTCTAATACCATGGCATATATTTTATTAGTTACTCTTTGCTCTTACAATTAGACAAGCCTTATAATTATCAAACGAGACTTGATCGATCTTACGTACTGAGAAAACATGTCGAAACATTTTATCAACGTTACTCAGAGAATATTAGCACCGAAATAAACTATTTATATCGTATCGCAATTAAAAACTTAATTTAACAGCGGTTCCACCGTAAACTGTGGAGCGTTATTATAGAATCTTGTAATTATGTTGTAAATGATTATATACATCGAAATGGACGCAGATAAATCGCATTCGTTGGTCAGTTCATATTTGAACTAAAAATAAAAATCGTGCTGGTGCCTTGTAAATAAATAACAAAACAATTTGTTAAATATATTGAACAACGTTATGAATAATATTAAATGAATTTTCTCATTGTCCTGTACCACCTCTTTCCTTTGCAAATAAACTTTAATCAATTCGTTGAGGAAAAGTGTATATTTATTACACTTGGCCATAAAGTTTTATACATATAGTGTTGGAGTATCGCAAAATCTAATGGAACACAGGTATTAACACAAAGTAAACATAGGATCGGAGTCTGAGAGTGCCTGAAAAGTGTGAAACTTGTCGGTGATTTATGTCCAGGGTAGAAACTTTCTTTTACACCTGACTCCGGAAAGGCGGAGTTCAGGTAAGTCCTCACCAGTAATCGCGATTACTCGCCTCGGGAGTAAGTGAATCCTGCACCAGGGTAACGGTACCTATCTTCGGAAAAACGCACGAGGGAATCGATCCCTGGTTCTCAGTTTAAAATAAAATAAAAAAAGTCGGGGGAATCGTAACGACTGGTGTCGTTTCGTTTCGTTTCGCCCGTCCCAGGTAGATTCCGGTTACTAACCTGTCCGCCGTCTTAACGGTTACGATAGTTTTGGCCCAGGGTAACAAATCTCTCCAGCCAGGTATCGATCGTCTCTATCGTAAAGTTTTAGTACTGCGGGGTACAATTGTTCTTACTAGAACCCATTTAGGAATTGTTTTATTCAATGTCAAACGAGTAATTCAAGATTGCGTTTAGCATAACCGAAACGAGAAAATAGTGGTATAATATTAATACATTCATTTGAAATTAGAATCAATTGTTTCCTTGATTGGACTGTTCCCTATGGAAATCATTTTATTGATTATTTTATAAATTATATTGTACCTTTTCTGTCAACGATAATTATTATTTGGATTTGGGATTTCTTTAAATTTGACATTAAATTTATCCGCGCAATGATTGACTGACTGACTGATTTTATGCAAAGTGGTGATCCCCAGTTTTGACCGCAAATCGTGACGCATTGTGCGCACTGAAAGCCGCAGCGATTTACATCTTTTGTGGTCCGAAAATGCCGGTTCGACAGAAAAATTACTGTGATTCCCGACAGGTTATTTACTCAAAGACCGCAAGGACATTGATAGGGATAATGGGGGAGCACTCCGCCCCCTTCGACGCCGTTTCAAAACCGAATTGTGCGCACCGCTTCGCGAAACGCTTCAGGGCGGTGCACCCTGTCCCTAGACCTGTGATCGTCGGTCGCGTTCTACGAAAAATCAAAGAAAATCGTTCCCATTTTCCGTCAACCGTTATTACGCATCGTTAGTATCGACGTAATTACAGAAATGAAGTTTTCCCAGCCGAAAAGGAAGTTTGTTAAGTTGAATAGAATCATTAGCAAACGGGTGTTCGACAATAACTGTGATTAGAAAAATTTCGGACTAGAACAGATTTTTCTAATACTCGCATCAATTATTTTCATGGTTCGTCATTTAACAATAAATATCAACGAACTTTGAATTATTTAAATTGCCCGAGTTTTATTGCATAACGAGGATATTTTAATAGTGAATACCTAATGTGACAAAATTCATCAGACTCGCGTTATCGCGTCAGCACATTAGCCTACAACGTTAAGCGCACGCGTTACATTACTAGGAAATCGTGGACGTTGAGTAAGTAAATCCTCTTATCCATATCGATGACGGGTCGGACCGGAGGAACACGACGGACGCGACATGGAAGAGCGAAACGCGAATGGGAGTTCAGTCGGTGTCGCGCGGAGACGTAGCGACGATAGAATCGCGGGGACTGGTCCTGGCTTGTACAACGCGCAACAAGTTAAAACGACGAGGAGGTATTTCTTTGAAAGGGTTAACGCCAACCGAGACTTGATCGAAAGCAATGGAGAATTGGTCATTACAATGACGTACAACATGCTCGAGGTTGTACCATAAACTGCACAATACTTTTTGTGATGAAATTCTGAAAAAGTTTGATCGGCAGTCGTGTTATAAAATTTCAAATATTATTAGCCGAATTTCTAACTGACGTCAATCATCAATTACAATCATTCGTTTATTCGCCAGTCGACCAATTATATTGTAAATTTTCTTATGAGATGAAATTATTCTGTCATAATAATTCATGTAATTAAGACGGACGTTTACTCATATTATTCGTATTATACGTACAATAAAATTAGCCAGACATTCGAAACAAATCATTATCTGAAATTGTTACTCATTAATTTCGTGCGAGGGACCTCCTCTCTGAGGAGAGAGGAATAAGCAACGACACTCGTTGCATCTTGTTACTGCCTTGTCGTTCCCGTTCTTCTTTTAAAGGTTAAATTGGATTTAAATTTTGAGATTTATAACGCGGCCGGGCGAGATTTCGTTTCGGGGAACTCTCGCGACGATCTTCTTCCTTCTTTTTAATTCTTTTCGCTGCGCCGGTGAGCGAAGCTGTCCCTTTCAATCTCAAACGATTTATAGGGAAACGATATCACAATTCATTGCGTTCTTTTAATTCAATTCAGCAATTTTAATCATTTGTTTAAATAATGCGATATTCACTAATGACGTTGAGGTTTACACGTGCAAGTTGCAGTATTTTGATATTTTATCAATTGATCTTGTAATACTTATTTATTTGTAAAATAATACCTGGAACCACTATTCTTCGATCTATTAAGCTGTTAATAACAGGCAAACGAGAAATGTTTAAAACGAGTTTATGAAAAGAAAAAGGAAATACTCGAGCCCTGAAGCGTTTAATCGCTTACTTGGTGTAACTTTGTTGCTGGAGTGCTTATTAGCGCGAGTCACGGCCCGAAGGGAAAATGTCATGTCAAACGCAGCCACAATAACAAGCAGAAACACACACGTACGTATGTAATCTTGTCGGATATGCCTATCAATTTTTTTCAATTTCGCAGATCTCTATAAGTATCCTCGACCTTTTCCGTAAAAATGCAATTACCCACGACGAATGCGCGCGTCTCGTTTTTAATTCGACGCGACAAATCGGATCACTGAAATCCCTGTCGGATCTGCTGACTTGTAAATTTGCTAACGGTTTCCAAAAAATTTTTAAAACGCGTTCCCGATTCCCCGTGGCCGATAAGTCATCCGAGTCGTTACGTGCGAGATGGAAAGTACGTGATACCCGTACGCGATTCGTTTTTAAGCACTCGGTACGTGTACCAAAAGGAGGACGTGAGTCGCTGCGATTTATGCAACCTTTAAATATGAAATATGCGGATTTTCGGTTAGCACACCTTTTTAATGAGATGAATAGTCGATGTTCATTTAATTTTCGACATTAATCATCTTTTCTGATGTAATATAGTATGTGATATTTTTATTTTAATACTGACTAGTGAATTAAAAAAGTTTTATTAACTGAAGCTCATATTTTATTTAAAGACAAATCTGCATTTTATCAATTAACGTTAAAAATATATTATTTTGCATATAAATCCGCAATCTGTGTCTGATAATAATGTTAATCGATTATGTCATGAAATAATATTCTCTCTTTGCATTAAATTTTATGTTATAACGAATACTAATTGCCATAAAGCTCAAATATATTCCATTGGATCCCGGCAGCATTTTACTCATCGTTTGTCTCGAAAGCGAGATTTTAGCCGCGCGCTGGCTGGGAAGGAACGAGTCTATAATATATTCTGCGTCCCTTCTCCTCTCATCCTCTGGCTTTCGCGATTACGCTTCTTCACGGTCGACGGTGACCGCGTATGTACGCTCTCTCGCTAACTGCTCGTCCCAGTCGAATAATTAAAAGCAAGTTTCGTCTCTCGGATCGCTTTCAACCAGTTGTCCACCGTGCATCTTATTCCGGTAGATCAGAATCGGGAAAATATTACACTGAAACTCCGGCTAATCACTTGAACATTGATGCTAATGTTCAATTAGGTATGCCGAGGATTTTCCTTCCCTGTTCATTTGCAAGTCTAAAAATGTTCATGTACCTTCCAATAAAACGTGTTATACACATTGAAGAAATTATGTTAGTTATTCAACTATACAGGGTGTGAAAAAATGTTAGAACCGAAAATGGCAGATTGGAAGGGTTGAACAACAATTTCCTTTCGTAAAATGAAAGACGGGGCTTTGTAATCGAGTTATTAACAGGAAACAGGGACCATTGAGAGATTAGTGTGACGTCATGAGAATTGCCCTTTGCCGTAGCCGCAAATACATCGCACGCAGGTAAAATCCGTGCCATAAACCGTTCGAAAGCACAATTACCAGCTAATTCTTTTATATTTCTCTTAAAATATTAGATTAAAGAAATCGAAAAGAATTAGCTGGGGAGATCTCTTCTGAATGATTTTCCCAACCTGCCATTTTCGGCTCTTACACTTTTTCTGGGACACCCTGAAAACGTATAACATTTTGTTTTTGATATTCCGTATTCTTATGTTGTATCCATTTTGTTTTTATATATTTAAAAAGAATTCGAGGTGTAAAATTGGTCGCAGCGAGCGGTGTCAGGGTTAATGAAATCGTCATTGGACCGGCCGGAAGCGATCGTGAAAAGCGTCCTACTTGGCGACGTATTCACAATGGGCATTCAGAATGACGCGGGACATTTTATACATAAGCGATCGCGTCGTCACGGGCGGTCCGGTCCTCGCGCTATATTCGAATTCGTTTAGTGAGGAGCGAACGTTTCCCGAAAGCTGAATGACGAGAGAGAAGAGGGAGCAGTAAAGGGCGAGGGATGCAGCTCGTGCCCCGAGACATTTTACAAATTCGCCAGGAGGACGCGGTGTATCGTGGGTGGTCGTGAAACGTGACGGCTTCCTTCGGGGGACGCGCGTCGGGACCCGGGATTTCTCCGGGGTTTCCGCAGGAATTCGTCGCGATCGAGTATACCGGTGTTGAGACGTCGAGATACAATCGAGAGGCGATATAAGCCGTTGGCGAACTTTACCGGTCGCCTCCCGTTGCTGGGAAGACGTTTACGACTCCGCGACGACGTATGGGTAGGCCA